AAGACCTGGTCCCTCTCGGTAGGGTAACAAGGGAACGTGTTCAGTGCAGATCAGTGAGTAAGCACAAGCCCGCCTTGTTTCAGTACCTATGCTTAAACTGCCCCCTTATACTTAGGAGAACAAAACTGTGAAATCGCCTGTATAGATACTTTCTGTTCTTCAGAAATTCAATGAGATGTGAGAAGGTTGAAATAAAGAGTTAGAAAAATAAAAACAGCCAAAAAGAGATGGCAATAATAGATTTCACAGTAAGATTTATGATAATAAATCTGTTATTAACCCAGAAATTAAATGTGAAAATTAAGTTCAAGACATTTTGAGCAAAATACAATGGAAGGGGGTAAAGAAATAAGGAGCACAGTGTAACAATATGAAAGGGTCAAAGAATGGATATATTCTAGACAAGGGAAGAATATGAAATAAAATTCATTATGCTAGAAGTGGAACAATTCCAATTAGTAAGTTCTAAGATGTATTCTTCAGTATATATGTCTATATCAGGAAGAAATGAAGAAGTCAAGAAGTTAGAAGAATGAGAAGAACCTAAGATAAATTATGATCATAAGTACTAAAATCTGAAATCACTTGATCAAGATGGGAAAATTGCCCTTCTTTTGAACCAGAGAAAGGAGTTATCTATGAAAAGTGAGTTTCTTCTAGAGTTTTTAACCTCCGTATCACCAAGAAATAGGGCGTAGAAGACAAGCAGAATATTTAAGAATATTAAGAATGTTTGAAATGATGTACTGTGAATGAAGACAAAATCAAAGGAAATTTACTAGACTAGGTGGCATAGTGCCTAAGGCATCTGACTGCTAACTAGAAGGCTGGAGATTCAAACCCACCAGCCACTCTTCAGAAGGAAGTCTGGGCAATCTACTTCCATAGAGATACTCAGAAACCCAAAGAGAGGTTGCTATTAGTTGGATCTCACTTGGCAGTAGTGAGTTGGTTTTGGTGGCTGGTAGGTACTGAATATCCAGGTGATAAAGAAAGGCAAATATAATCTCCTGAAGTTTTGTTATAGCTCAGAGAAGTTACATCTTGATGGGATAATTTTTATAGGTTTTTAAATCACGTCCTCTCTTACTCTGTTTCATCTATTCCCCAAACTGGTCTGAAATAATGAACTATGTACTTCTCTAATTCCAAGTTTTTTAAATCTTTTTCCTCAAAATCTTGCCTAAGCTTTGGTGAAATTCTCAAGTAGAAACTGGAATGACAGGTTACTTTACCTGTTTGATGCTTTTATTCTGACACTACAACTAACTGCCCTGCTTATCTAAAGTTAATTACTGCTGCAACATATTTAAGACGCTCTGGTAGCATAATGTGTAAGGTATCTAGCTAACTGTAATGCTGGTGGTTCAAACCCACCAGCTGCTCCAAGGGAGGAAGATGTGGCAGTCTGTTCCCATGAAGATTTACAGCCTTGAAAACCCAACAAGGCTCTCACTAGGAATCAGAACCAACCTGATGGCAGTGGGTTTTTGGTCTGGTCACATTGTTTAATTGAAAAAAAAAAAGGAATACATATATATTAAAAAACAAAACAAAACATGTAATCCACTTTGACACTGTATTTAACAACTATTTCTACATGTGCCTAAAACTTAAAAAAAAGTTTTATAAATATATAACGATTAACTTTACTTTCAGATCTAAAAAGTTAATGCATCTTATACATATTTGAGATCATCAATAAATAAAACTTCAAGTTTTTTTAACTCTAAAATTTTCTTCACCTAAACAGCCAACAATTCTTTGTATAAATTCTGATGAACACTTTTACAAGATGTGTTTACAAACAGGGCTGGACTACAATTTTTTGATTGCGTATTGATTACCACTGCTCTTCTAGGTGAAGTCTGAACTACATCTGAAACTGTCCATTTTAAATGATGTGTAGTTCATTTTATACACTTATTCTGTTCATGCCTTTCCTACCACTCTCACTGAAAACAAGCTTCTTTAATGAGATGATCTGTTTTTGCCTCCATTAGGGCCACATGAACATAGTATAATTTATGCTGAGTATTTATAACGTATCTATTTTCTTCACACATTTTAAACACCTATTTCCGTCCTCTCCTCTAACATACCTAGCCTCCTGGCCACTAACCAGACCTAGGACTTGGGAAACATAAGCCTCTGCTTTTTTCAGGCAGTTCTTTAGTTGGTATAGCAGCTCACTATTAGGAAATCTTCTCTCATGGGCCTCACACTCCAGTGCCCTCAACTCTTCAAAACCTAGAAAATAGTAAAAGTACAAAGAGTAAAGCGTTATGAAAAAAATAGAGGAAGACAAGACAAATCAACCACACCAAATAAAGAAGCCTTGCTCATGGGGTCCTTCTATCCCTCCATCACTCACTGCGCTTCCGACCATCCTCCACCTCCAGGGCGACTCGCACTTTGTTGGCCCAGGTGTCAAAAGACTCAGCCCGAACTTTTAGTTTTTGCAGCATGGCAGGGAGTTCATCCAAGGTGTACCGATACCTAGAGGAAGAGAACATTTGGCCCAATTCTGCATCCTCCTCATTACCCAATCTTCTCTATATACAGGCACCATGCTCACCGCAAGTACTGCCGGCTACTGGAGCACTGGCAGAGATCATTGATGTGGGAAAGGCATACAAGGCAGTCTGGGCAGTCATAGCAGGCCAAGGCTGATAGGAAGCATGTGGTCTTGCACTTGATACATTGACGCTCATCATCCGGGAGCAATTCAAAAGCCTCTCGCTCAGCCTCCGTGATACCCTGGGGGTGTTCAACCCACACACACTGTAAAGACTACGAGCAGAGTTGTGGACACCCCACCTCAGCCAAAAAGGAGCCCAACTGTGGGCTCAACCTTGTAAGATAGCTGTAGAGAAAGTGGAAGAAAAAAATACAAACACATAGTTTCTGTTTATCTTTATCAAAATGTATGACCTAGAGTTGAGGCATACAATGCTTATTGAATCTTCATCCATCTCTCTCTACTACAATCTACTTTACTGAATTACAAAGCCTTGCTTCCCACCACCCACCTTCTCCAACAGGGCCTTTCGTAGACGTCGCTCCTCCTGTACCATAATGAACATCTCCTTATGCACAGCCACTGCCAGATTCAGATCCAGCTTCTCTGGGAATGCAGCCATCTTGCAGATGAGTTCCTCATGGGAGAAGACACAGTATCGCCGAAGACGGCGGTAGTGTTCAATACACTGGCGTCCAATAGGCAGCTGTAGAAGGGTTCAAGGTTGTGTGTGGCCATCTAAAGACCAAAGTGCCTTAGCTTCTCCTCAATTATAACTACCCATGATCTTAATGCATTTCTGCTTTCCTGCTGACTGCACTGCACACTCACCCAGTCAGCAGTGCAAAAGTTGACAGCTTCAGCAAAGTTGTAGCCTTGGTTGAAACCACTATGGTAAGCACGGGGAAAAGTGATGACAAATTCTCCAGCACACTGGTTTGTACGGACAACCTGAAAGAAGAAATAAAACAGAAGCTATGTGGCTTAGAAGTAATAGGGGATGTGGATTTTAGAATATCTTTGAATCTTGTTCTAAATGTAGTGAGGTGCAAAGGACGTAGATTCTATCTTCATGTAAGTTATAATAGAGAGAAAAAAAATGGAAAGGTTAAGATGACTTAAGAGAAACATGCAAAGAAAAAGGTGTACAATTAAAGAAGGAAATACAGTCTATACATATATGAAGAGATGTTAAACTTCTTTAGTAAAGAAAGAAACGTAAATTTTAAAATCCAGGAAGTGGATTTTCCATTTCCAATCTAGTAAGTAAGGAAATCAATAGTCCATGCCTCTTATCGTCAGGAAAAACAAGTTAAACACTTAAAAATATAGAGCTCTTCTTAGAGCCATCAGACAACTGAGGTCAAAGAGCAAACCATAACCCCCAAATATGAGCAGACAAATTATTAAACAGAATTTCAGTTTACTGAGAGGTGAAAACACCATATTCCACTTCATGGCTGGACCTGGACTCAGACCCAGATCCAGCATCATGCAGTTATCTTTTAAGGATAAACAACTAAGTTTTCTAAAGATTTCTGGAGGCCCAGCTGTAGGGCAAGCCTCCATACTTTCAAGTTTCACCTCCAGAAGCCAGCTTTTTACTGTGAAACTGAAAGAAAAAGCCCTTTATACTGCTAGCAAGGAGAGAGGAAAAGTTACAATAAAATTGTAAAAATGCTCTGCTATCTTTGACTACAGTCTGCCCTAAAGGGGGTTTACCAGAGCCATGGAGGTATGGGTACAACTGACTTACAGGAGGGGAAATAACTACCTTCAGCATACCTTAGCCTTCCACATGGGGGAGGAGAACTGCCAAACTCCAGCTCCATTCTATGGAGGGTAAGGAAAGGTAAATAAAAATCTATAGTCCATTTTATGTTTGGACATGAGGAAAAGGACCTCATGTCCAATTTCAGAACCTTCTTATCTTCTAGTTTCAGGTAAGGATAGAAGGTGGGGTGGGGAGGAAAGCCAAGAAGCACTTTTAACAGTCATGACACAGCAGCAAAAGGTTCACTAAAAGACTGAAACCTAAAGAACAGAGTATTTTCCTTCTGCTAATATGTTACCACCACATTATCAACGAACTTTACAACAAAATATCATCATAGTTCCTCTTACTTAATACATCATGTGGGAACTCTGGTAGTATAGTGCCTACGGCACATGACTGCTAACCAGAAGGCTGGTCGTTCAAACCCACCAGCCAATCCTTGGAAGGAAGATGGGGCAATCTACTTCCGTAGTGATACTGCCTCAGAAACCCAAGGAGGGGTCGCTATGAGTCGGGTCCGACTCGATGGCACATAACAGTAACAATAATACATCATGTACAGCTTTCACACAGAAAATTACAAGGCAGGCTAAAATGCAGCAAACACAGTATGAAGAGACAGAGCAAATATAGTAGTAAGACTGAGTGGCAGAGAATATGGAATTACCAGACCAGGATTTGATATAGCAAACAACTTACCGCACTGGGCAAAAGATCTCTTTACAGTGTTAAAAAGCAAAGATGTCACTCTGAGGACATCTACTCCAAGGTACAGCTACTCCAAGTCACAGTATTTTCAATCATCAAATATACATGTAAAAGCTGGACAATGAATAAGGAAACTGAAGAAGACTTGATGCCTTTGAAATATTGTGTAGGTGAAAAATACTGACTATATCATGGACTTCCATGAGAAGGAACCAATCTGTCTTGGAAGTAGAATGCTGCTTAAAATCAAAGATGGGAAGACGTCCTTTCACACATTTGTACATATTATCAAGAGGGGTTAGTCCTTGAAGAACCTTAGTAAAAGCTTAGTGAAAAACAGTCAGTGAAAAAGGGAAAGACCCTGAGTGAAACAGATTTGACACAGTGGCTGCACCTATGGGTTCAAACATAGCAAACACTGAGGATGGCACAGACAGTGTTTCATACTGTTGCCCATAGGGCTACAGTGAGTTACAACCTACCTGACTTGATAGTACCAAACAAGAACAACAATGATTAATATTATGCTAAGGACTCTAAAAAGTGTAACATGCAAGAACAGATGAAATCTAAGCAAAAAAACACTCCAAGAAAATGTGAGAAATCAAACACACTGTAACAGAAATGAGGAATGTTCTTGATGGGTTCATTAGATTGGACATGAGAGAGGGAAAAATCAGCAAGCTAGAAGACAGGTCAGTAGAAACTCTCACTGCTGTTGCGTCAGATCTCACTCATAGTGTCACTTCCTTGGGTTTCCCAGATGGTATCCCTACAGAAGTAGAATGCCCAGTTACTCAAACTGAAAAGGAAAGAGAAAAAAGACTGAAAAAGAACAGATATTCAAAAGCTGTGGTTTAATTACAAAAGGTGTCTCAGTAATGAGAAAGGAGAAGCAAAAGGGAAAACAGAAGAAATATTTAAAATAATACTTTCCTTCCACTAAAATTCTTAACCAAGAATTTTCTAAAACTGTTGATGAACACCAAATCACAGATCCAGGAATCCCAGTGGACACTAATCAGGATAATTGCCAAAAAAAATCTACAACTAGAAATACTATACTTAATCTGCAGAAAATTAGTAAAAAGGGAAAATCTTGAAAGAGGCCAGGGGAACAAACACTTTCTCTATAAACAACAATAATTACATTAAACTTCTCTTCAAAAACCATGCAAATAAAAATAGAGTGGACTAAAATACTTAAAGTCCTAGGGGAAAAACCAAATTTGTAATTCTGTATCCAGTGAGATTATACTTCAAAAGTGAAAATACCTTTTTGTTCAGAAACACAATAATTAATAGAATTTGTCACCGGTAGACTTTCCTTGGAGCCTTTGGGTGCTGCAAATGTATAACTCACTTGGAGGATTAAGTTAACCCAGATTCACATCAAAAGAAAAATCTAGTAATTTACCTTGCAAAAAATCAGCTCCTGAAACCCTGTGGAGGTTCCACTCTTACATATACTGGGCTGTCAGAAGTCAGGTAAACTCAACGGCAAATGATTCTTAGACATGACTTACAAAAAACATTAAAAGATGTTCTTCAGAGATAAGGAAGATTACATAGGCCAGAAATGCAGAAAGAAAGGAAAAGTATTAGAGGAAGAATACATGAAGTTTATAAAATAAAATATTTTCATCTTTTTTATTCTTAACTGATCCAACAATTTAAAATACAAATACCAACAATTACAGATTATGGCCCTAGTGATGCAATGGTTAAATTACTTGGCTATTAACCAAAAGGCTGGTAGTTTGAAACCCTAAGCACATCTGCAGAAGCAAAGCCCTGGTGATCTGGTCCCATAGAGACTACAGCCCAAGAATATCTTTATGGGACAGTCACATGGGATCACCATAATTTGAAATCAACTCAATGGCATACAATAATACCAAAGTTATAACAGATGAGGAGGAAGCATCAGGAATATTTTGTGGTAAGGTACCTGAAGTAATCATGAAGGTATATATAATGTTATTTGAAGGTGAGCCTGTATTAGTTGTAAAAGGAATTAATTATTTGTAAATGCAATTAAATACAATTAATAGAAAGTTTCACTGATGTTTAACTGGTATTTTGAGGAGAGAAAACAGAATCATACAAACAGACTTATGTAAAATCAAAGAAAGAAATAAAAAAGGGGACAGGAAGAATTAAAAAAAGAAATATAGACAAAGAACACAGGAACAAGCAGAAAAAGTTATTGTTAATTCAATAGATCAAGACGCACTTAATGTGAAGGGCTAAAATATGACATTTATTAGAGACATTAATCCATCACAGTGGATTAAAAAAGAAAGAAATCAAGACCAAATTACATATTGTCTATAAGTATAGAAGAATCTCACTTTAAATATAAAGACAAATATATTAAAAGAAAAGGGATATTAACACTATTCAAAGAAATCTGGAGTAACTATATTAATTTCAGAAAAAAGATTTCAGAGCAAGGAAACTTATTAGGAAATTATACAATGGTAACGGGTCAATGATAAAAGGTGTAACAATCTTTAACATACATGTGTTTAATAAACAACAGTGCTAAAATATGTGATGTAAAACAAGAACTGCAAGGAGACACAAACTATAATTTGTCACCAATAGACTTTCCTTGGAGCCTTTGGGTGCTGCAAATGTATAACTCACTTGGAGGACTAAGTGATAATAAGTTGAAGTCTTCAGTAACACCCCTCTATCAGTAATATCTGTCTATCACAGATCTAGAGGCAGAAAATCAGTAAGGCTCTAACTGAAGAGAAATCATCAATTAACTGGATATAAATGACATTTATGGGATACTTTATCAAATGAAATGTAGAATACACATGTGAGTTCTCAACTCACATGGAACACTATTCAAAACAGACCTCAATCTGGGCCACAAAACCTTAACAAATTTAAGAAGGCAAAATCATACAATATATATAGCTCTCAAATCACAAAGGAATTAAACTAGAAATCAATAATAGGGATGTAGCTGGAAATTTTTTAAATACTAGGAAACTAACAACATACTTCTTTTAAATACAAAGCAAAAGGGAATCAAATCACAGATCCAGGAGATAAAAATAAAAATATTTTGAATGAAATGAAACTGAAATTATAACATCAAAATTTGTAAGATACCAAGCAGTGGTGCTTGGAAGAAATGTATTACAATGAATGTATGTATTAGAAAAGAATATCTAAATTCAGTAATCTAACCTTCCACTTCAGCAAACTCAAAATAGAACAAATTGAAGTAAATAAAACAAAAGGAAATAATAAACATTAGAAAAACTAATGCACCAGACGCCAGATTTTTACTTTTATGCTGCTAAGTAATATGGTGATCTCTCCTTTCTCTTCCTCTTAAAAATACCCTATTGGTATACAAAGAATCTCACCTTACTGAATGGAAAAAGAGAAGTATGACATTAATTATACCTAGCATCCATAGTAAAATGTACATAACTTATTTCCATTAAAACTAAGTTATCATAATCTATTTCTGCCCCCAGGACAGGTATTGAAAGTGTTTTTTTCCCCTGCCTCATTTCCAGGTACTCACTGGCACACCATGGGACATGAGTATATTGGGATTCATGAGAGTAACAAGCTGGTGCAGGAGGTCAGGCTGGCTATCAAACAGCTCAGGTGTCAGCCTCTTCATCACCTCCTCCAAATGTTCTGCTGCCAGTGAAGGTACCCCATACCAGGTCTTCGGCTCACCCCTGCTCAGATAGAGAGGAAGACACATAACTCTAGTCACATCCTTGTATATGTGGAGCACACTGACACCCATGCCAGCCATTGCGATCCTGCTCACCAGTGAAGGTAGTTAATGGAGTAACTCCAGTGATCCTCAATATGCCAACAAAATGCTGAGAATACCATGCCCACATAAAGCCACGGGACCTTCATGCCTGAGATATCTGCATTGATGTGACAGAGAACAGACTGCTCCAACACAGGCATCACATTCAGGTTCCAACCACTGGTTGCATAGTCCTGTTGGGTGAGAGATTTGCCAAAATGGGTAGGGAGTAGGAATGGGTGCAGAAAGACAAAATGAGCCAGGCATATGTAGGAAGAAAACTGTGTTCTCAGATTAGGGTACTTGCTATAATTTGTAATGAAAGCTCAGTGTTCCTTTTCTACTCAAAAAAAAAAAAAAAAAAAAAAAAAAAAAACACTGCCATCAAGTTGGTTCTGACTCACAGTAACCCTTTCCTGGGTTTCCAAGGCAGCATCTCTATGGAAGTAGATTACCCAGTCTTCCTTCTGAGGAGTGGCTGGTGGGTTTGAATTACCAGCCAGCCCTCTGGTTAGCAATTAAATGCCTTAGGCACTAAGCCACCTGAGCTCCTTGGTCTACTGGAAGGTCCACTTATGATTTCTGAATTAATTTTCACCTGCTATGGGGAAAAGATGCTATAATCCCAAAGATTAAGTATCCCTAAATCAGATTAAGGTACATCTGTTCCAAACAGTATGAACAAGCAAATACATAGAAACTAATTTCACTGGTAATTACCAGGGATGGAGGGAGAGGTTGGAGAAGTTAGATTCACTGTCTAAATAGTACATACTTATTATTTTGGTAATGAGAAGGCGAACACTGAATCAGAATGAAATATCCACACCTTGATGAAGATAAATGAACGTCACCAAAAATTACACAAAATGAACATACTAATAACTGCTATGGCATATGTAATTTTGAAACAATAGCAAAAACAACCAAAAAATATATTTAAGTATGAAGTATGGATATAAATTCATTCCTGTAACTATATGCACATATATTCATATATATAATAAAGCCCACTGGTGGCACAGTTACAGATGTTGTTATGTGCTGTTGAGTCGGACCCAACTCATAGTGACCCCTCCTTGGGTTTCCAAGGCAGTATCACTATGGAAGTAGTTTGTCCCATCTCTCTTCCAAGGAGTGGCTGGTGGGTTTGAACTGCCATCCTTGTGGTTAGCAGTCAAGTGCCATAGGCACAATGCTACCACAGCTCCTAACCATTACAGATACTTCTTAGATATCACCAAATACCACACAGCAGTGGATTTCTGGTCTGAAGGACTGGGAGTATAGTTTTGTGAAACATCTCAGTCAATTGGCATACACTTCATAAGTTCTACATTCTAGTTTGGTGAACAGTGTCTGAGGTCTTAAAATATTATGAGCAGCCATCTAAGAAACAACTATTGGTCTCTACTCATTTGAAGTAAAAGATAAAGAAAGAAACCAAAGACTCAAAGAAGAAAGTAGTCTATAGGACAAATACACAATCTCTGGCCTCATCTACCCTGAGATCAAAATAGATGGTGCCCAGCTACTACTACCACCATTCTAATCAGGGTCACACCAGATGAACCCTAACAGAATGAGAAAAATGTGGAACAGAAGTTAAAATTTTTTAAATATCCAGATTTACTGGACTGGATGAGATTAGAGGAATCCGTAAGACTAGTGCCCTGAAATACTTCCAAAACCTTAAATTAAAATTAACCTCTGAAGTCATCTTATAGCTTCATAAAAAACTGACTCAAAAAATATTACCTGGAAGTACTGGATGCACCTTTAAAAAATCACCTATAGAGACCAAAACCACCACTTGTCTGTCAGCCTATTGTACTGTCCTGGTTTGTATATTTACTGTGAGGCTGGAGGCTATGCAACTGTCATTTCAAGTATCAGCAGGGTCACCAGTGGTGTAGAGGTTTCAGTGGAGTTTCCAAAGACAGACTGAGAAAATGACAGAGCCATCCAAAAATGGTGGTCCCTGAAAACCTCTAAGAACAGTCATGAAACACTATCTGGTAACAGTAAAACAAGATGAACCCCAGGATGGAAAACACTAAGAAAACAAGTGAAAGACAGCCGCCTCCTCAAAGTGGAGTTGACTTTAATGACAGGGACGGAGTAAAGCTTCATGTGCTGATGGGGTAAGACTCAAAATGGAAACAAACAGCTGGAAATATCCATTAATAATCAGAATGTGGAATGTACAAAGTACGAATCTAGGAAAATTGGAAGTTTTCAAAAAATGGAACTCATAAAGATCAATATCTTAGGCATCAGTGAGCTAAAATGGACTACTACTCCCCATTCTGAATCAGACAATTATGTGATCTACTATGCTGGGAATGAAAAATTGAAAAGAAATGGTGTTGAACTCATTATCAAAAAGAACATCTCAAGAACTATCATGAAGTACAGTGCTGTCACTGATAGGATATATCCATATGCCTACAAGACAGACCAATTAATACTACTAATATTCAAATTTACTCACCAACTACTAATCAGGCATAGTACTGCATTGGGCAAATCTGATGGAAAAGACCTCTTTAAAGCATTAAAGAGCAAAGACGTCACTTTGAAGACTAAAGTGCACCTGACCCAGGCTACAGTTATTTTTAATCTCTTCATACACACTGGAAAGCTAGACAATGAATAAGGAATGAACAAGGAAGATCAAAGAAGAGTTGATGCCTTTGAATTATGGCACTGACAAAGAATACAGAATATACCATGGACCATCAGACAGTAAACAAATCTGTCCTGGAAGAAATTAGTCAGAATGTTCCTAGGAAATACGAATGGCCAGACCGCGTCTCACTTACTTTGTTCAAGTTGTCAGAAGGGACCATTCCCTAGAGAAGGATACCATGCTTAGTAAAATGGAGTGTCAGTGAAAAAGGGCAAGACCCTCCAGGAGATGGACTAACACAGTGGTTGCAATGATGGGCTCAAGCATAGCAAAGATTGTGAGGATGGTGCAGGGCTAGGGAGTATTTTATTCTGTTACACACAGAGCTGCCATGAGTTGGAGCTCACTCAATGGCACCTACCACAAAAATAAACCAAAACAACCAAACTCACTGCCATTGAGTCAATCTGACTCATAGAGATTCATCCTTGGATTTCTGAGGCAGTGTCACTACAGAAGCAGGTTGCCCACTCTTTCTTCTGACAATATAGACCAAACAGTAATTACTTTAAAGCAAAGATAGGACCGTTAAGAGGGAAGGGAAAAAGAACCACTAGCATGGGTGTGGTAGTTCAGTTTGTGTGTCAACTTGGCTGGGCCTGGTTGAGTAGCTTGGCAGCTGGATGCAGTATTCCCCATGATGAGACTGGTAATCAACTCCATGGTGGAATCTACTGTGAGCAGCTGAGTAGCGGCCTTAGGGAATGTGATGCTTCCTATAATAAGCAGAAGCCTTGGCGAATGGTCTCTAGCTTATGCCCCCTCACCCGGCCCGGCATGTAGCCATGTCCTTATTCAGCAGCCTGCCATGTTCTGCCGACTTTGGGACTTACAATGAACTTGAATTAATGGCCTGCCATGTAGTTTGGTAACATGGGACTGTGCCATGTTGTTTGTCAACCTTGGACTTGTTAGCCTCAGCAGCCAGTAGCTGCCTGAGTCAAGAGATGCCTCTAGCTTCAGTGGGCCAGGAGCAAGAAGAAGAGCTAAAGCCCAAGGCTGAAGGGCTTTCACCCAGCTCCCAGAGCCTGGCACTTTGAATTTGGACTTAAAGCCTCCAAACTGTGAAAGAATAAACTCTTGTTTGTTAAGGCCATCCCATTTGTGGTATATTCTTGTCAGAGCGGAACTCAGGTAACCAGAACAATGGGGATAATGAGAATGTTTAAACATTGTGAAGAATGTCACTAATGTCACGAAACAACTTCTGTAGAAACTTCTAAATAAGAGCCTAAACAGCTGTGTGAACATTCACTGAAAAAATAAATTAAAGCAAACAAAAGATGCAGCTGTACCCTAAAACAAACAAAAGTATTTACAAATGTCCTTCAGGACTGTTCTACTTTTATCAGTTGCTTGGTATTCTCCAGATACTCTGTCAAGCCTCTGATTAAAAGTTCTATACAATATAATGTCATACCTTCATTTTATCTTCTCAAATCATATTCTCCTTTTATATGCCTCTATATATTGAACTGGGGGAAGGCAGATGAAAAATACCAACCAAACATGTCAAAAGTGAGTATTACACTGGGTACTGCATAGGATCTTATGGGCTCTCACTTCTCTCGATTTCCTAAACATTCCTAAAAATGAATCATTCTTTTTGTTTGTTGTTTTAAATGTAAGTTACTGATTTACTTGAGTTATCAACAGACTGTTAGCCAAGGAAAGACATCAGGGAAAATGACTGAAAGGAAACTCTAAGAAACAAACAACAACAACAACAAAAAAAGGCAAAAATTGTCACAATCAGCTTTATCAAAACTCGAGGTAACTGGGAAAAGTTTTCAGTAATCAGATAAATAATGCTCAATTAACAGCAGTGTAACTAAAACACAGCAGAAAAGTAAAGTGGCATTTTAACTTTGTCCATGACCTTCCTTCAACTTTTTTAGCATATTTACAACAGCTGATTTAGTGTCTTTTTCTAGTGTTCTGGACTGAACTACATTTAAAAAAAAAAAAGGTACGAAACCTAATCTGTGGATTTGATACTGTTTTGAAATAGGGGTTTCTTCTATTATATTAAGTTGGGCCAGAATAGGGTGGATCCAAAACATAATCACTTCTCAGTTACAAAAAGACCAGCACATACAAAGAAAGCCATAATAAGGAGAAGACAGATGGCAAGGCACAGAAAAGAATGGCAAAAACTGCTAACAGACACTAGAAACTAAGAGACTCACAATAGCTGAGACTCTGATTTGGACTTTCAACATCCAGAACTAGGAGAAAATAAACTTCTGTCCTTTAAAGCTATCCACTTGTGTTGTATTTATCATGGCACATGCCCTAAGACATTTAGTAATTCCAATGTCTGATCTTTCTCAGGAACAATTTTTCTTCATCCCAGTGAATAGTTTATAGTTTTCTGTTTCTTCTTCTTGTTAAGTCAAGGAAGTTCCTACTCATAGTAATTCAGTATACAAAAAAATGAAACACCATCCAGTCCTTCACCATCATTGCAATGTCTGGCTCCATTGTTGTAGCTACTCTGTC